TTCCTTTTTTATCATCAGTCAGTTTTTGTGCCATTAATATTTTTCCCTTTCCCTTCTGGATACAGAACCTTGTCCAAGTAGGAGGGTCTTGAGTTAACCCTAGCCATGAGTCAATATATGGATATTGATCCGGGTGTCCTGGCTCTCCTGTGACTACTGTATAGACTGCTTCCACTATTTTTAAGTTCATGTTGTTCTCTGGTGGCCATCCTACTCCCATAGGGGGCCATTCGACCTCACAGAGTATGTGAAGGCGGTTAGGCTTCATCTTCACCCCATAGTCTCCTCCTAATCCCTTCTTAATTTTTAATCATGCACTCCAATACGTTGCCATAGATTCACTTCCCCCCATCTTGCTTACCTTCTCAGACCTTCTTCTACTTTTCCTTTTCATTCTGTCTACGAAGTTCTTGGTACCCTATGTACTTCTGATATTTCCACTCAATGACACTTAAATTGCCATTCCGCCTCATTCGTAATTGGGGTGAGAAGAGCCTTACCTGCCAGATCCCAGAGGGAGAAGGGGGATCGGCGTGTCTTCACCTGCTGGTCAGCACAGCCGAACCAGAGCACCACAGTTTCTCCCTTAAAGTCTGTTCTGCCTTGGTGGGCTTGATCAGGTGCGGATGAAAACACAGATGGGTTAAATAGCCCCCGTCCCAGGCCATCTCCAGAATAGCCAATTCATACTCACTTCTGTATCCCCCTCCTTCTAGCCTGACAATTCCGAGGGGGCCAAGAATTTCACAGCAGACGGGACACCTCCTGGGGAGGGCAGAATACGAGCATACAAGGACCAGTTTCCTGTCCTAAAAATCCCCTGGCGATCGCTGGTAATAATTTTCCCTGAGACAGCGTGGACGCACCTCCTAAATGACCTTCACAAATTTCCTTCCTAAGCCCTAGCACGCTCGTCGACCTGTGTACCAAGCAATCGCCGCCTGCCTATTCCAGGCTCCTGTGGGTCCGTGCCCCTTCTAGTCCCTCCCAGGGGGTGATCAGGACCCCTCTTCCACCCTTGCCGGGTGGGTTCCTCCTCACCTGAGCGCTCAGTTCCCCTGCTGCCGTCCACTACCTGCTAACGTGAAAGGTCCAGGCGTTGAGAAGTAGAATCCTTCCAGAAGGGTGAGGCGCCTTCCCCCCTCTAGAAGAATCAAGCTGCAAGGCCTCAGAGTAGTCCCAAATGGGACTTGTCTCCTCAAAGTGAGGAGTTTCCCGGCCAGGGCACTAAATGTTGTAGCCACATGTTCTGGGAAACAAACTCACTCAGAAGGACAATGCAGATAGTGGAGTGCAGTTTATTACACTGGCGGGCCCAAGGCAGTCTCCTCTTAGCCAAGGACCCCGACCAGCATTTGTGAAAATCTCTTATACCCCATGTGCACGTGTCCGAACCCACCACCCCAAATTCCTTGAGACTTACATAAACAAAGGAAGGGTAAATATAGTCCCAATAAGCCCATCATTCATGTGCATGTGCTCAGCCAGTTAAACAATTAGACAATAATAAGCACGAGGTTACACTCCGATAGGTACAGAAAATTTATGGCCTGTGTGGAGGAAGGGGTGACTAGTGTATGTGTTCTCTTAGGTGAGGAGTAACCTGGATGTGATCTTCAAGGTTCCCCTGTCCGGAGGGGTCTTATCCTTCTGTTGTCGTTTCCATAGGCACTAAAGACAGAGTTCAGAGTCCATTGGAGAGGTGGCCGAGCATGATCAGCATGAACAGGCCTAAGATGGAGCCCAGGCCCAGTGAATTCCTTCTTCAATATAACCAGTGTCTATAACTAGTAGTTTTAACATTTTTTACATACATTTCACCTGGAATTATAGATTTCATATTTTCTAAGTACCCCCGTTTCTGTCTCTTAAAAATTTCCCTACCAAAAATTTTGCTCTAAAACATAATACAGTGATTATATGTAACAAAGTGAATGTTAATTCCTCAGTATTATCTAATAGTTCATATTTGAACTTTCACAATTAGCTCCGCTAAGTGTGTCTTACAGTTGATTTGTTCTGTTTTCTTCTCTTTTTAAATAACATTGACCTGTTGAAAATATGGTACCAATTTTCCTATAGAATGCTCTTCTTCTGGACAATTTTTATCACTTTGTTCTGATGTCATTTAACTTATTATTCCACATTTTGCGTTTCTTATATGCTAAAAAAAAGTAAAAGTCTTTCAGTTATCTCCGACTCTGTTGTAACCCATAGACTGCAGCCCACCAGGTTCTTCTTTCCATGGGATTTCTCAGGCAAGAATACTGGAGTGGGTTGCCATTTCCTTCTCCACAGGATCTTCCCAACTCAGGGATGGAACCCAGGTGTCCTGAAGCGTAACCAGATTCTTTACCATTTAAGCCACCAGAGGAGCCCTGTAACAGAGAGTTAAGTCTTAAGATTTTAATACATTGCAATGCTGGGCACTTCATGTCTCATCACACCTGGAAATATCAAATGTCAGTGTATTTTACTTTTTTATGATACCGAGTTTGATCGCTTGATTAAGGTGATGACAGATTGGATTCCTCCATTGTGGAAGGAGCTCTACCCCCTTGCAGATATGAGGGGTCTTGGGGCATTAGGGAATATCTTGTCTCGCCTAATAGTTATCATGCCTGCTGATGATCCCTCACTCCAGGTTCTCAAAATAATTATTTCTCTTATTTTCTAGGACATTGTCGCATCTCAGTTTCCCTCCTGTGTTTTCACCAATGCTCTCTTTGACTCATTTACCTACAGACATGTATAAGATTTTTTTAAATAGTTATCCCTTGGCATTACAACCCTCTCTAGTAACCATCATCTCTCTTGCTTTTGTCTTAAGGTCATAAAAGAATGGTCCACATGCTATCTGCATTACTTGGTCTCCAAATTATTCTTAGTCACACTCATTATTTCTTGCTAGACTGCTGGACCACCAGGGAAGTCCTCCTCCTTGTTGTTCAACCCGTGGTAAACTTTTGAATCTGGGAGGAAGCATCACCTTCTTTATGAAGCTTTTTCACAAAGGACAGAATGACCCATTCACTCATTTGTGTCTTCTCCACTCTGTATACCCTGCTGTCAAGGCATGCAGAATATATACTGAATATCCTTTTTTCTTTTTTTCTATTGTATTTTTGGTATTTATTACTGGATTTCTTCAGTCATTGAGTAGCATTTAGTAAATGTTTATATTCATGGCCCACTTACTTTTATTCTAGCCAGTGATTAGTTTTTGAGGTTGACAGTATTTTGGGAGTGGTGATGAGGGAAATCCTTGTATATCAATTATCTTTTCTTCCTCTATTGAGGAATTTGATACTTTTCCACTGTATGGTTTTTAATAGAAAGTAAATCAGCCTGCCAGTGCAGGAGATGCGGGTTTGACCCCTGGGTCGGGAAGATCCTCCTGTATGGGAGGATCATTGCTTCCCAAGTGGGCCTGTCACAGCCCCAAGCCCACTCCCCTTACTGTGTTCTCTGCTCATCAGGTTTGCATCTCAAGAGCTCACTCTTTCTTTCTTGTGATTTGCCTGCAATTAAAGAGTATATGCAGATCTGCTCTGGTCTTTGGGAAGCATGTATATAACTCATTGCTTTCCCTTTCCTTCTCACTATGGAGACCTAATTGGTTTCCCAGATGGTTCAGTGGTAAAGGACCCGCCTGCTGCTGCAGGAGATGCAGGTTCAATTCCTCTGTTGGGAAGATCCCCTGTAGAAAGAAATGGCTACCCACTCCAGTATTCTTGCTTGAAGAATTCCATGGGCTACAGTCTGTGGGGTTGCAGAGAGTCAAACATGACTGAGAATGCATGCAGGCATGGAGGCCTAATTACATTAATACCACTTAACCTTTATGCTAGTGCTGTTAGGCAGCAGATATTTGACCCAAGCCACTTTCTGAAAGCAGCAAAACACGTTTCCTCAATGGTGTCCTCAGAGGGACCTTTGGCAATCATGGTGTTTTAACCAAGAAAAATCTTGATCTGAAAATTGGATTTCACTCTTGGGAATCAGAGTCACAAATAATGTATTTCTTATATTGAGCCGTTATAGACCTCTGTAATGTTCCAGAATGTCCTGGAAGCCCTTGTATGTAAGAGAAGAAGAAAGATGAAATCAGGCATGTTCAAGGTGGTATGGCTGTAAATTGGTCCAGCCAGCATGGAAAACAGTATAGAGGTTCCTCAAAAAAATAAAAGTAGAACCACACTTCTACTCTTGGGTATAGAGCTGACGAAAATGAAAACATTAATTTAAAAAGATCTCTGCACCTCAGTGTTCTTAATAACATTATTTACAATTGCCAAGATATGGAAGCAACTTAATTGTCCATTGACAGATGGGTGAAAAAGATGTGGTATACACACACATATACATACAATGGAAACTATTCAGCCATAGAAAGAATGAAGTTATGCCTTTTGCAACAACATGAGTGGACCTAAAGTGTATTATGCTTAGTGAAATAAATCAGAGAAAGACCAACACTGTATGTTATCATATGTGTAATCTGAAAAATAAATGAATATAACAAAACAGAAACAGACTCACAGATACAGAGATCAAGAGTATTATCTGTGGGGAAAGGGAAGGTAGGAGGGCCAAGATAGGGGTATGAATTAAGAGGTATAAACCAACTGTATAAAATAAATAAGCTACAAGGATGTATTGTACAGCATAAGGAATATAGCCATTATTTTATAATAACTTAAGAGTAAAATCCATTAAATTATTGAATAACTGTTGTACACCTCAAGCTAATATATGGTAAATAACTATAGGTTAATTTTTTATTAAGTGGGTAGACTAAGTCCAATATAAAGAAGAAAGTCAAAACTCAAAAAAAAAAAAAAGCAAGTGCCTGTTTCTCTTAGGTTATTAGGCCAAGGTGGCTGCAATAGTACTCTGAGAGCTAACTATTTCGATTTTGGATACATTTGGAAAGTAGAGTTAACCATCCATGACATTGTGCTAATTGTTCATATTGTCTGTATTTTCTCCTTTTTTAGTTTCGCTATTCAGATTGGCTCGATAGGTTGTATATGGTGCTGGGGACTTTGGCTGCCATCATCCATGGAGCTGGATTCCCCCTCACGACGCTGGTGTTTGGAGACATGACGGATAGCTTTGCAAGTGCTGGAAATTTCAGGAACATAAGTTTTTCAAACATGACTAATGCAAGTAAGTGTTGTTTGTGGTACTGATTTTTTTTGAAAGCTTGATGAAAAGTCATTGACTCACAGTGAGGTTTGTGGAGTCCTCACTAATTATGCATTAATATGTTTAGTGCTGCAGGAGATGGAGGGGTCTGAGCTATAGTTCACATCTGTAATGAATTTGAGAAGATGATATTCACAGTCATTAGAACATACAGTGTAAGTGCAGGTAGAGATAGATGGGAAAAGAGAGTTCTATGAAGTCAGAAATATCCAGGCAGTTTCAGGAAAAGAAACTGGTATTTGAATAGTAAGTAGGAATCAGTTACGCAGTTCCCTGACATATTGATCATGGGTACAAGAGACAGGAATCCAAGATGATTCTAAAGTTTTTAGTCTGAGAAACTTCATAAGCTGGATGCAGTTACTGTCAGTTGAGGTGAGGAAGATAGAGGGAGATCAGTTTTGACAGTAAATACCAGAAATTTAATTTTGGGCATCGTCACAGGTTGGGCTTTTTGGAAACATGAAAATGGAGAAATGGGGACAAGAGAAGCTGTGTGTGTATTTAGGATGGGAGAATAACAGCTTGTTAGTATGCTAATAGAAATTATCCAAGATAGAAGAGAAAGTGATGCTTTGGGGGAGAGGAGAGAGATTGGTTTGAGTGCTGTCCTTAAGAAAGGAAGGAAACTTATGCTTAAGAGGAAATACTTGCTTGAAGTACAGGCATGAATAGTTCACCAATAATAACAGGTGAGAAGACAGAGTATTTGAGAGTCAGTGCCCACAGGTTGGTATACTTGGACATGAGGATTTGTAGAACCTGTCTTCTCAGTCAAATAGGAAGCAAGACATTTGGCTGACCAAGAAAGGAAACCTAAAGTCAGTTCCGGGAGTTCCCTGGCCATCTAGTGGTTAGAACTCCACACTCTCTGCTGAGGGCCCACGTTGACTCCTTGGTCAGGGAACTAGAAAAATCTCCTAAACTGCATGGCATGGCCAAAAAATAATAAAACAGGTTTCTTAGCAGAGTGAGAAAGTGAGTGGACTAGGGTGTCACACTTTCACATCCTTGAACTTGATTGAGGAGAAACTGGTTCATAACTGTGAGCTCCCAAGTCACCTTTGGTCAATGTATGCTGATTTCAACTAAAATGCACAAAGACTTACAGCCTGATGTGCACCCAAGTCATGGAAACCTTGAAGAGGCCTGTTTGTGCACTCCAGGATTTAGTGACATAGATTTTGCAGGACCTTTAAGTCTCTGATGATTGCTATGAATCCTTTCCCCCAGAAATAAGCACATAGATATGCATGCCATTTGGGGGTCTTTATGGATCCTCTGATAACCTGTCTGTGGATCCTAGGAACATTTTCTTGTGTGTGTGATCCTGAAGAGCACATTCTTTACCCTGTGGCAGGACTACTTCACTTTATGTGAATGCCGATAATGAGTTGGGCTAGAGAATCTTACTGTGTGTCGGAGCTCTGTAAAATTCTCATGTGTTTGTTAAGCCCCTTCAAAGGGACCGGCCAGAAGATGTTGCACTGCATTTGGACTGGTACCTTTCTTTCATACCAGTCACCAAAAGGAAATGTTAGGGCTTTCTGTGTTCATTGGTTCCCATGTATGCTATGTAATTTAGCAGTATTCTTTGGAGTTGTGTTACCACCTTACAATGCTAGAATCTTCTAGTGCTCTGTGGTAGCTCAGCCGACTTTATATGTGCATCTGTGACCCATTTTGATCTTACTCATTTTTTAATTGAGTCCAGACACACACATTGATCTAACTGTGGGAGGTGTTTTACTTACCACACTGTGACCTGCATGTACTCCATGGAGGGCCAGTGCTGAACTCAGCTGTGTTAATTAGGAAATATCAGGCTGTTACAACTGTTGAAGGTTGGCCCCGTCTGGGAAGAGTGGACTATTACATAGCTACCTGAAGCTAGCAGAGCTGAGCTCACATGGGCCACAGTAAACTCACCTTGAGCTGTGTGGACTGGTCTTTTTCAAATTGTAGTTTTATTTTTTGAAATGTTTTTGTGTGCGTTTATTTTATATAATGTTTAGCGGTTATTTTCCATTTCCAGTTATTATAAAATGCTGACTGTAGTCCTTGTGTTGTACGGTACACCCCTTGTAGCCTGTCTTACCCCCAGGAGTTTTGTACCTTCCCCTCCAATCCCTATGTTGCCCCTCCCCTACTCTCCCCCACTCCTCCTGTGACTGCTGGTTTGTTCTTTGTATCTGTGAGTCTGCATCTCTCTTATTATGTTCACTGGTTTGTTGGGTTTTTTTTAGGTTCCACATATAATTGATAATATACAATATTTGTCTGCATTTTTGACTTACTTCACTTAGCATAATGCCATAGAAGTTCACACATGTTGCTGCTAGTGCCGAGATTTTGTTCTTTTTTGTGGCTCAGTAGTAATCTATTGTATATGTGTATATACACCACATCTTCTTTATCCATTTGTCTGTCAGTGGACACTTAGGTTGCTTCCATATCTTGGGCAACTGCAAATAATGCTGCTGTGAACATTGGGATATGTGTTCAACTGGTCTTTTTTTTTTTTTTTAACTGCATTAACATTTACATACATTTTATCTCAATCACTGAAAAATCACTTGGCCCTTACTTTCATAAGAAAATAGTCGATCTCGTTAAGTAGGAGTACTAACCATTACTGTGTCTTGGCTTTACCTGGTCCATATTTACATGTGAGATGGACAGTAACCTGACTTAGTTACCTAGTAGCACATATAGGTTCTCAACATGGCCCAGCTGTGGAGACTTGCTCCTCCTCGGCATGCGTCTTCGTAGATGTTCAGATCACAGAGTTTCCACCTGGGATGTAGTTCATGTTGCATTCCTTGCCAGTCCTTCCCATTCTTCTTCCTCTTCCAATCTTGGGGAAATTCAGAAAACTATTTGGATGTTTTGTCTCTGTCTCTGCTACCTTCTTAGGAGATGCTGTATTCAGTAGTTAAAGTGCAGGCTCTGGAGCGTAGGACTGCATGGCTCTGAAGCTCCACCTTTGTCACTTTTTAGTTAAGATTGGGGGATTGTTTTCATACTTTAATTTCCTCATCTTTGGAACAGTTAGATAGCAGCAGAACCTACTTCATAGAAGGATTGTGAGAATTAAATGGATTCCTCACTTAAGGCTCACAGAAGAGGGTTTAGTCATAAAAAAGTGCTCAATAATTGTTAATATTTGTTACAGTGATCAACAGGAAGCTCATGCTTCCATGTTCCTCGCAAGTGAACCTTCATAACTTGCAGTGATGTGGCTCCCTGTCTCATTTTATCTTCTCAGAGCTCTGTGACACTAACTCAGTTTTTATAGTTGTTGAAGGCATACTGCAGGTCACTCAGCACCTGTGATCAGTGTGAAGTCGTCCTTTTCAGGTGCATTTCCTTAGTAACTGTGGACTGCTAGCCATGCCTTTCAGGGAAGGCAAGGGCCTCAAACTATGGCCCGTGGGCCATATCTGGCCTATTGCCTCTTTTTATGCCATCTGTGAACTTAGAGTGCTTTTTGCATTTTTAAATCACTGGGAAAAAAGAAAGAAAAATATTTTGTGACACATTATAAAATAATATGAAATTGAAATTTCAGTATCTATAAAGTTCTAGTGGAACACAGACAGGCCCACTTGTTTGCATATTATCTATGGCTGCTTTCATGGAAGCCACAGACATTATTATACTATTTATGGCTACTCCCTTTAGGGGAGTTTAGGGTGGAGATCAGAAATGAGGCACTCTGTGCTCTGGAGAATTGGCAGAACAGGTCTTCAGATAGATGTTTTCAGGATTTGATCTTAGGGGCCTAATTCTTGCATCTCCTCATATCTAGAAAAGCACTTATTTCCTTCATGGTGACATTAGTTTTTCTTGACTAGCAGAAAACCTTTGCAAAGATAAGTGCTTGATTGCATGAATTCTCCCTTTACCAAAATTGAATATATACTGTCCTTCCCTCGCCACTTCTTTGAAGCAGTTTTTCAGAGCTATCTGAGGTGCTGTCTCCCAGCCCTCATTTTGCTTAAAATAAAACAGCTCACAACTCTCTTGTGCATTTTTTTAGAAAGTTGACAGGGTGCTCTATGTACCAGCCACAGTATTTGTCCTGAAGAAGCATTTCCAGCCCCCAGGAAACTTGGTATAATGGGTGGAATGGACAGGGAGCCAACCAGTGCAGTTGGATATGAGTAGTGCTTTGATACAGAGATACACAAAATACTTGGGAAGGAAAGGATTGGTGTTTGGCTCCATCTGGGAATCATGGGAGGCTTCCAAGAGGAGGTGATAACCAAGTGTGGTCAGATGGTATCTCTCTCCTGCACACAGTAGACATGTTCTGTGTAACAAGTGAAAACATTTAAAAACAAATGTTAAATAAAAAACAAAGCTAATACTCTTCTCTCACCACTACTCCTGATTGCCTCTCCCCTGTCATATTTTCTTCTGTGTCTTTATGATTTATCTCTACAGTAATTTTTACCCTAGGACAGTCAGTATTCTCTTATATACCTGTTTGCAGATTCAGAATTCCAGATGTCCTGAAATTTGCCTGGATGGGAAGGATTTCAAAGGTTTTGATGTTGGTCCTGGAGATGGGGGCAGGCGAGCTTTCTGATGCTTCTAGTGGGAGAGTCAGCCTTTTGGGACCCCAGACACTCTTAGACCTTTCTTCTTGTCCTCCAGGTAGAACCTCATGGCCTCTTCATGGGGGCAGACTAGGTACCAGAGCCTCCTTGTTGGGCAGGAAGTATTCCTTGCTTAAGGAAGCTTGGATTTGCTAAGGCTCTTGAAAGTCTGGGAGTTTTACAATAAACATAGGCTTTAACTAGACAGTCGTAAAAACTTTTGAGCAAGCATGTCCTTCTCTGCCGCTGTAAGAGACGCCTTATAAGCTTTCTCTTCTCGTAACACCTTTCTCTATTTCTCTTTTTGGTGTGGACCTGATTTCCTGATATCCTACTCCCTTGCATCTCCATCTTGTT